AAAAACCCTGTCTCAAAAAACCAAAAAAAAAAAAAAAAAAAAAAAGATGCAGTTTGAATTCTGAAGAGTGCATTTTAGGGAATGAGTCATTGCAATTTAAAAATAAAGATTTTTTTTCAAAAAGAAGGGCAATAAAATATGGTGTGTTCATATAATAGAAATTCAAATACAGAATTGTTAAGTAATTTTGATAACAAAAGAAAGGTATCCTGACCACTATAGACAGAACAATTAATGATATGGTGTCATTAACTGAATGCTGAAGGTGAAAGAGAAGAAGAAAGGACAAACTGAAGAAATGGTGATCAGAAGGAGAACAAAATGGCCTTCTTTCAGCATCCGATGTTCGTCCTAATCCTGAATAATCTTCTAAAGGCCAGTGTATTCCTAACCAGGAATGACATTACCAAACAGAAAACACAGACTCCAGTAAGAGAACTTACTGACATCGTTTTAAAGAAATGCTGCAGCCAGTATCTTCGGACAGTCGGAAGAAAATTGAACAAATTATATGAAAAGCTGTTGTGGAAAAGAATATAAAGTATATTACAACAGAATGCATTTTGGACTTGTTGTTGAAAGAAGAGTTGAGACTGCAAGAAAAATAAGTGTGTATCATGTATACAGACAATGAGGTTTCTATTGTATTCATTCCTTGTGGTCATCTGGTAGTTGGCCAGGAATGTACCCCTTCTCTAAGGAAATGGTCCAGCTGCAAAGGTACAATCAAGGAAACTATTCAAACAATTCTCTCATAAATGAAAACTGGTCTTAGAATATGGAAAACCAGAAGTCTTCTGAACAACAACAACAACCAAAATGATTGATTCAGTTAATATGTTCTTATTTTGCTCTGCTTAATAATTCATAATCTTGCCCCAGGAATGGTAGAATTATGTGTTTAACCTTACTCAATTTAGCTCCAATGGAAGGTTCATGCAGAGGAGCTAAGGGAGTGTGTATGTGTGAACACAACCTTGACAGGAGGAGTGGCCATGTTCTATACATAGCATTCAGGAGCTACTGGATGTTGTGTTTGTGACAGCTTTGTATTCCATATAATTTGTAGCTTAGAGGACATGAAATACAGTGGCTCTGGCTCTCAGAATTTAGAGTCTCACCTGATTCTTGGCACCTTTTCTTCTCTAAAATAGGGATTTTCCCATTACTGGTAAATCATATTATCTATATTAGTGAGAAACATATCAATAAAGTGCTTTTTAAAGGAAACTGACAAACTAAAATAATTATGGATGAGGTGAATTCCCAAGTGGAAATTCTACTAAAATAATGTTCTGCTTTTACAACTGAAATAAATCATCAATGACCAATGACATAGAGAGTTAACAACCTCTAGACACTTTTTGCTCTACAAAACAGTTATTTTCAAAAATTTCACTGAAGATGTATAATTTATTGTTTTATGTGTATGTATGCTTCCTTGCATAAATTTGTGTGTACTACATGAATGGACGAGTCCACAGAGGCCACACAAGGGCACCAGATCCTATGGAGCTAGAGTTACAGGTTGTTTGTGAGCTGCCATGTGGGTCCTCTGCAAGAGCAATCAGTGCTCCAAACCATTTCTGATCCATCTCCTCAGCCCCTGTGTTTCAACACTTAGAAGAATATTTATTTGATATTACAAGTTAATGAAGGTATTATATATGTGAACTTTCATGGAAAACTATTAGTTCATAAATCTAGGAATATTTAAAAGCTATATTACACAAATTAGTATTATGACAGGATTTTGTATTTTATTTGCATTGGCAATGCATAATATTAACCACAGCATTGAGGGAAAAATAGAGATGGCCGTAGTCTCATATCTGAGAATGAGAAGTTTCTGCCTATGACGAGGAGGGAAGTATTTCCAGGCTGCATAGATACTAACAATGGACACCCAGAACAACATTTTATATATGGAAAACAGCACACAGAAAATGGAATAAAATCCAGGGATGAATCAGATGCAGAGAGCATGGATTAAAGAATAATTAAAAATAAAAAGACAAAATATTACTGGTTTTAGATGCTCAATAAAATATGAGAATTCAAGAGTACCTATACTTCCTCATACATGTTTCCCATTATTGAACAGGTTTTGATATAATATACTTCTGAGTACTATTGCATATATATTATTTCATTTTTAAATGATTATATTTTTATCATAATATAATTGCATTATTTTCTCTTCCAACCCTTCCCAAGCTCTCTCTCTCTTCAAATTCATGATGTCTTTTTCTTTAATTGTTGTTATACACACACACACACACACACACACACACACACACACACATTCCTAAGTATAAATATAACCTGTCCTTTCTGTATAATGTTACCTGTATGCATGTGGGCTCAAAGACTTCAATAATTTTTATAAAAGAAAATTTTGATTAATTATCTGAATTTTAATCCACTATACTTGTAATCTGACACACAACAAATATTAAAATTGCTTCCACAAACCACAAACACACCAAAGTAAATAAAAAGATAATCGAGAATGTGTGATGTTTTGAATAAAAAGAGCCCATATTGGCTCATATATTTGAACATGGCCCTTAGTTCATGCCTTTTTGGAAAAAATTAGCAAGTGTGGATTTCTTGGAGGAGGTGTGTCACTAGGAGTGAGTTTTGAAATTTCAAAAATGTGAATCATTTCAAGTGCTCTGTCTATAATTACTGCTTGTGGATCAGAATATAAGCTTTAGGCTGCTGCTCCAGCACCATACCATACCTGCCTGCCTGCTGCCATGGTCCTCATCATGAGTTTGAACTCCTATCCCTCTGCAACTGTAAGCCCCAAATAAACCTTTCTTTCCATTATAAGTTACCCTGATCATAAAATATTATTATAGCAATAGAAACTAACTAGGTCAGAAGCTGGTGTCAGGGAGTGGATGATTGCTGCAAACAACTTTTGACTATCTTGGTTTTCTGTTGTTGTTATTGTGTTTTTTTTTTTTTTGGAAAAATTTGAAAGACTTTGGGAATTTGGACTGGAAAATAAATTGAACAGTGTAAGCAGAGTTCAATGGCCATCCTAATAGGAGTTTGGAGAAATGTAGTGTTGAGAGCTATGTAGACTATGGAACCCTAACTCAAGAAGATTCAGAAAGAAAAATATGAACAAGTATGTTAGAGACCATGGTTGTGATAGTTTATGTGATAGTTGTGATAGATAATGTGGCTGGCTTCTCTGCCCTTGTTCTAAGAATCTGCCTGAGGCAAAATTGAAAAGTAATGGACTAATGTATTCTAAAGGTGATTCCTAGACAGCCTATGTTGACTCTGTCTTGTGGTTATTAGTAATCACTCTTTGTGAGTCTACAGTAAAAAAGAGCAAGTGGGGCAGAAAGAAACACAAAATGTACAATT